AGGGGATTTCTGATGTCTTCTCTCTCCCTTCAGATCATTAGAGCATACGTGTCCTTGAATGTTGGATTCACTCACCGTAGGTCATTGTCTCGGTCAGGCCGGTCCTGGATCAGCCAGAGAAGGTCGAATCGGGAGAGCAGTGCAGCAGGAAGCTGTATGTTCTGCTCCAGGCTGCGGCGAGGGTTGTAGCGCCCATAGGCAGGATTGGCGGCAGCCAGGATGGAACAGCGGGCATTGAGCGTGGTGAGAATGCCGGCTTTGGCAATGGAGATGGTCTGCTGCTCCATGACCTCGTGGATGGCCGTGCGGTCAGCCTCAGCCATTTTGTCAAACTCGTCGATACAGCACACCCCCTGGTCAGCCAGCACGAGGGCCCCCCCCTCCAAGGTCAGCTCTCCAGTCACGGAGTCCCTCAGCACAGCCGCCGTGAGCCCCACTCCTGAGGAGCCCCGGCCCGTTGTGTACTGGCCTAAATGGCAGAGACAGGAAAAAAACAGACACACTGAAGCAGAGAAAAAGAACAACGAAAGAACAGGGCAGAAACGAGGCCTGCGCCGGGACCGCTCCACCTACCTGCCGGGTCCAGGCCTTCCCAAGGCGGCTGAAGATCCGTGCAGCACCAGCTCCACACCCACCCACCTCCACCCCCCCCTGCCCCCCCACCAAGGAGAAGCAGTGTGGTGGTCCCCCCTCCACCCCAGCTGGTACGGGTACTTCTCCTAGGGCCCAACACTCACTACGGGGCGCCAGGCGATCGATGTAAGACAGAAGCTGAGACTTGGCCACACCTGGATCCCCCATCAGGCAGATGTTGATGTTGCCTGGCAGGGAAGAAAGCCCCGGGTGAGGCTTGAGTGCAAGCTGCCCAACGACAGAGACCCGTACCTTTGAAATCTGCCCCGACACCCAGCATCCCTTCCCCTCCTCCCTCCCTGCGCCCAGGAGACCAAGCTACAGACTCTTACTCTGTGACACGGAGGTCACAGATCTGATCTGTGTCATGGGACAGCGGCTGACATCCTTCCTTCCTCCTGGCCGCCCCCCTTGTTTCCCCGCTTACCCCTGATCTTCATGCCCCGAGGAGACTGGTCCACCCCTCCCACCAGCAGGAGCAGCAGGGCCTTCTTCACGTCTTCATGCCCATAGATCTCCGGGGCGATGGAGGCGGCCAGCTTCTCATAGAAATCTTCCTCTGCACAGAAGTTTATACAGAACATTGGGAGCGGGATGGGGGTGCTGGGAAGGAACCTCTGTTCCCAGGCTTCGTCAGGCCCCTCACCTGCAATTCGCCTCAGCTCCTCCCTGCTCAGCTCTCCGGCTGCAGACTCGTCATCCTCACTCTTGCTCATCTTCACGACCCGATGAGCTTCCAGGTAAGTTTCTGAGAGGAGACCCTTGGGGAGGAGAATGCCAGGGTACGGATGAAGGCCCTTGAACTTGCCTGTTCACGCGACTCCCTCAGGAGTTCCTGACAAAACCCTGTGCTACTTTGCTGTTGACTGTTCTCCCTGCGGAGCAGTGAGGAGGGAGGGGACGAGAAGGAAAGAGGAAGTGTCCTCCTCCTTTCAAACCCGTCACTTACCTGCACCACCTGTCGGAACCCAGAGCGCAGGATCGGCAAGAAGATGCCAGTGACACTGACGTGGTCCCCAGGCTGGGCGATCCTCGTGTTCTCTCCTTCTACCAGCACTGTGATGCTACGGGGAATGTTCCCCACAGGCACTTGGTCACTCTACAAGGGAGAAGGCGCACAGGCGGGAGAAAGGGACACAGCTGATGAGAACCTCACCTTCCCTGCCCAGGCCTCCCACCTCCTGCTTCTCAGCCTCAGATGCGCCAACAGGAAAAGAGAGCCAGAGATCGTCTTTACCCCTTCTTTACTCCACCAGAAAGTTCCAGTTAAACCTCCCTCCTGCTCTAAGGAACTTCTCGGTTTCAGCCTCTTTTGTTTTTCTTGCTTTCTTTCACTCTGTACGTGACTGCAGAATTCGAGTGGACACCCAGTCTCCACCTTCCCTGGGCCACATACCCCAAACTCACATGTTCCTGCATCTTTATCTCCTGGAATTTGATGAATTTGGAGCCACGTGTCTGCAGATATAGCCGTCCTCCTGAGCGGTTGGTCTGGCACTCCTGGCTGGGACACATGATCAGGGGCATGAAAGTAGGAGACTGGATCTGGGATATGAGAAAGGAAACACCAAAGGAAACCAGTGACATGAATCACACTTCCTCTTCGTGGCACGTACCACAAACTGCTCAGAGTGCCTTGACCTATCCCAAGTCAGTAACCATAGGCACCAAGAACACAAAACGGATGGAAAGACCACTGGGTACCAAAAAGAGAATGAAAGATGAATATGCAGTCGTGTCTCACAACCGACGCGATGACAGGTTAACACCGACAGACAAAATGAGTTCTTAGGGAAACCGCTAACAATAAACGTGTTCCTGTTCTTTTCTCCACACATACCGGCTGGTAGGTCTCTGCCCCACACTGGTCACAAGTATAAGTGGCCACCACCATTCTGGGTTTGACTTCGGAGACACGAGTGACGATTCCACGCACAGTTACCAATTTCCCCACAGAGTCAGCCCGTACTTCCCGTATCACGCGAGGCTTGTTACTGCTTGGCCCTTGAAAGTACAGCTCACTAGGAGAAGAAAACAGTAGTTATTCAAGTCCCAGAGAACAAATTCCCACACCCTTCCCCACCGAGACCACTCACAATCTGCGCATGAGCTCAGGAGGGTACTGGTTCTGCGGGCTTCGGGCTGCCCCAGGGTCCCGGCTCCGCTGCTCCATCATCAACCGATGTTCAATGTAAACATCCAGGACGTCTTTATTAGTCACCTAAGGACAGAAAAAAATGAATGGTAGAACGAGGAAAAGGAAAGATCATGAAGGGCACCAGGCAGAAATTAATTGCCCTATTTCTGCCAGCTCAAAAAACACCAGTATCTGAGAAGCTTCCCAAAAGCAACCCCTGTTTCTCGCTTTGCATTTTCCTGCAACCACTCACCTCTCTCTCCTTGTACTGAGGAAGCAGCTCTTGCACAGCATCAGCAAAGAGCCTTGCGTAGCGCCTGGCATTCTCACAAATGGAGTCCACCAACTCAGGGTCGTCCTCTGCTACATCATCTAGGTCTATGTACATTGCCACTTGTTCCCGATGAGCCAGTCGAACCTGGGTAAGGAAGAGACAACAGAGCCATGTTTACCATGCTCAGCAGTGCCCACCACCCACAGGAGAGAGGAACAAAGCAACACTTACTTCTTAGCCTCCAAACTTCTAAAACATCTTAATCATCGTGCACGTAGACTTAAATTCACTTACCAGACATTAGATAGAATGCTAAATGTGTCACTCAACGTCTATGCTTGCTGAAACAAACCAGGCCCCCTCTTAAGAGCTCCTTGAGCCACCACCCATTTCCTCCACTTCATCTTAGACTCACCAATTGGTTCCCGTACTTGAATTGCTTCTTGCCAAATTCATCATCCTGGTAAAACTCTTGCAGGAACTTTTTAACCTTTTCTGTAAGGAAAATGTAAAATCATGATAATCTGTCTCAGATACTTTACCCAAGCTCCCTTGATGTGGATCTGAAGAACTCACTCTCTTTACAAAATATATGAATTTGTCAGTTTACCTAAAAATCTAAGTAAGCCTACTTAATTCTTCCGGAGTAGGGCAGAACTCCTTTTAACAAGTCTGTTTTTATCTAGGGAAGAAGGGTCCCCTGGCAGTTAAGAACATTACCCAAAAACCTCCCCCGAGGGGAATTCCAGTTTCTGCCTTAAAAAATCTCAGTACCCTTTTCCAAAAGCTTCCCACACACTCAGATCTCAAGGTTCCCCACTTCTCTTCCATGCGCACGATTCTCCCTTTCCTTTCGGCCTTCTAAATATCTCCACCAAGCCCGTCCTCCACCCCACCCCCTCTCCCGCCACTGCTTCCGCTCTTAGTAAACAAAGAAGCACATGGGCCCAGATGCAGCCGCCTCACAGCCCGGGATTCTTCCGCCAAGGCGGGATCCCGTCCGGCAATTGCCCTGCCTGTTCCGGGCCACTCCGTCCCACCCCACCACCTCCTCTCTTGGCCTCCCGCTAAACCCCCCGATTCCAGGCACGCCCCCACCCTGAGCAGCTCTCTCCAAGGCCGCCGCGCGGAAGGACACTGTTTACACACGACACTCCCTCCAGCAACGTCGCGCAACTTCCGCCCGCCTTCACTTCCGCTTGGAGGTTGGCCTGAAATGGCCAATAGCGGCGCTCAGCGGCCCGGGCCTGCCCGCCCTCGGGGCTTCGGCGCGTCTCCCGAGAACGCGGGCACTCCGAATGCCTAAGGACGCAGACCGAAGCGGACCCGGGTGTCCGTCCCTGCGGCGAAAGGCCCCTGCACAGGGTCTCCTGAGGTCCCGGTCTCTTCTGGGCGCGACTCTCCCCCTATGGAGCCCCGAGTCGGGCTGTCTGTCGCCCCCGGCCCCACGACCCCCACTCCTTCCCCAGACACGATAACCGGCTCTTCGAACTAGGAAGCTCGCGCGCCTCCCAGGCACCTTCTGCCTTGGCCCCGCCGCCTCCCGAACCTGCCTTTGGCCTCGCGCGCCAAGCCCAGCCCCCCAGGACTCCAGCCCACACAAACAGGTGTTGGCCAGGAGGCTTTCCGCGTAGGACGCTCCTCCCAGACTGGCATACCCTCACCTTTCTCGAGCACATAGTCCTTAACTGCCATCGCCCGTGCGGCAACAGTGGGCAGGTTCAAAGATCTCACTCCCGGGACAGCAGAAAACGTACGCGCGGCGGGCTGCTGCGGACCAACCGAAATTGGCGCGAAACGTCGCCCCTCACGTGACCGGCGCCGCCGCGTGCGGGCCTATCAAAGAGGAGGCTCTTTGCCCCTCCCACTCACCGCCGGCCCCAGCCTCGGCCAATCACCCGGCGAGCCTGGGCTGAGTGACAGGGAAGAGGCTCCTGCACCGGGACGGAAAGGCGGGGCGGACGCCGGTTTCCCGCGGTCTGAGGTGGCGCGGGAGGAGAATTGCTCTTAAAGGGCCAGCGTACGCTCGTCCTTTTGTTCCGGGGCCGCAGGGCGGGGCAGGCCCAACTTTCGTTGTCTCCCTGCCTACTCTCCAGAGCCGCCATGATCTCCCAGTTCTTCATTCTTTCCTCCAAAGGGGACCCGCTCATCTACAAGGATTGTATCCTTGACCTACGGGGCAGGAGGGGGGGCCCTGGGTGGGAGTGGTGCCCCAGGGCCAGACTGTATCGCTGGCTCCTTAGCTGTTCTTCCACCCGGTCAGTCCGCGGGGACAGTGGTGGTCGGGATGTGGCCGAGCTCTTCTACCGGAAGCTGACGGGACTGCCCGGAGATGAGTCCCCGGTTGTCATGGTAACCAGTGGCGGGGAGTGGGGGATGCGCCTGGCGGGCAGGGGGCGGGTGGGGAGGGCGCCTCCTTCCTCCCAGGGCTATTTCCCTGAGAGCTTCCGCTTCGGGGGTACGTTACGCCAAATAATGTGAATTCAAGTTTATCAAGAGCTAACAATGCACCAGGCACAGGCTCCTCTCACGTCCCAATCCCCCCGCAACTCCGGGGTGGGTACTATTGGTTACCTCCCCTGACATGTCAGGAAGCTGGACCCCAGGGGGGATGCCCAGGGTTCTCAAGGCACACTGCTAGGAAGTCTCACGGGCCCTTAATCACAGCTCTCTTCCTAATGCTTCTTCCCCACCTCTGCCTCAGCACCACGATGACCGTCATTTTATTCACATCAGACACAGCGGCCTCTATTTGGTGGCCACGACTTCAGAGAACATTTCTCCCTTCAGCCTCCTAGAGCTGCTCTCCCGGTGAGGAGGGCAGGGCTGGGCACCTGGGCGCGGGGATCTGACAGGAGGGGCATATGCACACTCCGACTCGTTTTCTCAGGTTGGCCACTCTCCTGGGCGATTACTGTGGCTCCTTGGGCGAGGGGACCATCTCCCGCAACGTGGCTCTTGTCTATGAGCTCCTGGATGAAGTGCTGGTGAGGGCCAAGCATTTCCCTCACTGCACCCCATTCCTTGCAGATATGCACTGTGGGTGGGAGGCTAAGTCCATTCATTTCCACCCCTTCCCTCCACTGACCTCCCACAGGCTGTCCTTCCTCTGCCCACAGGACTATGGCTACGTGCAGACCACATCCACAGAGATGCTGAGAAACTTCATCCAGACAGAGGCTGTGGTCAGCAAGCCCTTCAGTCTCTTTGACCTCAGCAGTGTTGGCTTGGTCAGTCGAGGGAAAGAGGAGGAGGAGGGGTGGTGGGTAGTGTCAAACCTGAAGATTGCTTGCTTTGGGTGCTTTACAGTTTGGGGCTGAGACACAGCAGAGCAAAGTGGCCCCCAGCAGTGCAGCCAGCCGCCCTGTCCTGTCCAGCCGCTCTGACCAGGTGAGATGCATCAGACCCTCTGAGTTTTTCCTGGAACACCAGAGAACGAGATCCTGGTGTTCCCAGACGTGGACAATCCCTTCCCTTCCCCATGTCCCCACCCCAGGGCCCTAGCTTCCACTGGCCTGTCCTTTCTGCCTGTGCACTTTACAACACAGGTCACTCAGCCTCCAAATCCCCTCTCTTCTTCAGAGCCAAAAGAATGAAGTGTTTTTGGATGTGGTCGAGAGGCTGTCTGTACTGATAGCATCTAACGTGAGTTTGGGCCCCCAGCCCTAGAGCAGAGGATAGACGGCTTTTGGGAAATGTATGGGGTCGGGGGCGGGGTGTCACCTCGGGACATTGATCTCTCCGTTCTTCTTAGGGCTCGCTGCTGAAGGTAGACGTGCAGGGAGAGATCCGGCTCAAGAGCTTTCTTCCCAGTGGCTCTGGTGAGAAGTCTGCAGGCTTAGCCCAGGGTCGGGTTTGGAACGGGCTCCTTGGTGGTATGTGAATGTTGGTATCTGGTGGCCTTTTCTGTTCTTTTCTGTGACAGAGATGCGCATTGGCCTGACAGAAGAGTTTTGTGTGGGGAAGTCAGAACTGAGAGGTGAGAAGAAAAGGGGTCCTTCTCTCCTAGGTACAGGTTGCCACCAAAAGTTTCATGGAACAGAGATGGGTTTTCCCCCAGCTACCACCTTGCTGCTCTTCTCACCCACAACGTGCGTTAGGAGAGGACACTTTCTTTCCCTCCAGGTTACGGCCCAGGAATCCGGGTGGATGAGGTCTCATTTCACAGCTCAGTGCTCCTTGAGGAGTTTGAGTCTCATCGAATCCTCCGCTTGCAGCCCCCTCAGGGCGAGGTCAGGATTGGGCTGGCCTAGCACTTTCCATCCTCCGTTGGGAAGGGAGGCAAGTTCAGGTGTGAGGAGACCAAACTGACCTCCATTCCTGTCTGGTCTCAGCTGACTGTGATGCGGTACCAACTCTCAGACGACCTCCCCTCCCCACTCCCCTTCCGGCTCTTTCCCTCTGTGCAGTGGGACCGAGGCTCAGGCAGGTAAGACCATTTTTCTCTTCTAGAACTTTCCCGAAGTCCAAGCTAATGCATATATGTTCCCAAAGCGCATTTTGGAGGAGGGATGATAATAGGTACAAGAAAAAGGCACCCTCCCCCCTATGCAGACTCAGCCCTTAGTGGAGTTGGGCTGGATATCATCCCTTCTCTCTCCTGCTTGGGGCATGACTGACCTACGCAGCAGCCCTGCATGGGGGTCCCGGGTGGGGATGGTGAGAGGCCAGTGAGTAACAGAACCATCCCTTTCACCCAGGCTCCAGGTTTACCTGAAGTTACGATGCGACCTGCCCCCGAAGAGGTACGAGTGGGGAGTTAGCCAGGCCTCGTTCAGTATCATGGGGCAGGACACAGGGCCCAAATACCTGTTGCTTCCCCCTTCGGATGCGTCCGTCAGCTTCGGAATCCCATTCAGTTAGACAGGAAGGCTGGGAAGGGGGGTGGGTGTAACACCTGCGCTAGTGGCGTTAATGAAGAGGGGGGACGAGTCACTGACTTCCCGGGGCTGACTCTGTTCCTCTCTTCTTGGCAGCCAAGCTCTCAACGTCAGGCTGCACCTTCCCCTGCCGCGAGGGGTGATTAGGTTAGTGTTGCAGCCACAGGGCCTGGGAGGTTTTGCCAGCTTCCCCAGGGTAACAGGGTGGTGGCAGGGAGGGTGGGACCAGCCTGTCCCAGGAAGGCAGGCTGAGCGCAGTGCCTGTCATCCCCAAACTCCAGCCTGTCTCAGGAGCTGAGCGGCCCTGAACAGAAGGCAGAGCTCGGGGACGGAGCCCTCCACTGGGACCTGCCTCGGGTGCAAGGCGGCTCCCAGCTGTCAGGCCTTTTCCAGGTACGAGCTGCCGACTCCCTGAGACCCTCTCTTCCAGCTGCATGTTTAGCCCCAACCACCCCTCCTCATGCACTGGACCTGAGCCCCATGCCCTCCCTCCTCTGTGCCTTCAGCACCCTTCCCTGGCCTCTGTCCCTCACAGATGGATGTTCCAGGTCTCCCTGGGCCTTCTGGCCAAGGACCCTCCACCACGGCCCCTCCGCTGGGGCTGGGCCCCGCCAGCCTCTCTTTTGAACTTCCCCGGCACACGTGCTCTGGCCTCCAGGTGCGCTTCCTCAGGCTGGCGTTCAGACCCTGCGGCAATGCCAACCCCCACAAGTGGGTGCGACATCTGAGCCACAGTGATGCCTATGTCATTCGGATCTGAGGCTCCCCAGACGAGGATGCGGGCAGCAAAGGCAGTAGTCTGTGGAACCAGAGAAGGATGATACTGTCTTTTCCACCCTTCCAGACCGTGGTCATGGACCTGGATGAAATGTCTTGAGTCCTGAGAGTCCAGGAGACCAGTCCTAGTTGACATATTTGACCTTCCTGTGGTACCTGACACAGGAAAGGCCGGGGTGGATCAGAATTTACAAATCAAACTTTTATTCTGAGGAACTGGCTGTACAATATCTAAAAGTAACATGGAAGAAGCAAACCATTACTTCCTTCCACCTAGCGTGCGTGTGTGTGTGTGTGTGTGTGTGTGTGTGTGTGAGAGAGAGAGAGAGAGAGAGAGAGAGAGAGAGAGAGAGAAAGAGAGGGAATCGGGGAGAGAAGAAGGTTGGCAGATGTGTGACAGCATTAAGGCGCAGGCTGAGGGGAGCCAGAGCCAGGGGGCTGGGAGCCATTAGTTTTTGGAGTCCCTGGAGCTGGAGGGGGGCTATCCCCAGCTTCCTGTTTCCCCCCACAAAGGGCACTGCCCCCAAGCGGGGAGGGGGCTGAGGATGGGGCAGGAGCTGGAGAAGGATGGGAGGTGGGGCCTCCTTTGCCCTCCCCTGTAGGAGGAAGAGAGACCACGATGTACTTCTGGACGCTGCCCGGACCAGAGGGAGCAGTGCTAGGGGGTGCGGTGGTGGCAGTAGAGACCAGCTTGACGATGGGCTGCACGCTGGGGACCGTGGTGGTGACGGGAGAGGTAGTGGTGGAGCCTGAGCCAGGGGCTGAGGTGCTGAGGGACAGGACCTGGGGGGAGAAAGGAGAGGCACTGCCTGGGGGAGAATTCATCTGTTCCGGCAGAAGAGCTGATGATTCATTCACCTGCTCAGGTGCCTGTAGGCCTGAGACCTGAGCTCAGGATGAGCAGCTATGCCTTATGGCCTCCGTGAAGTGCTCCTTCCTGCTCCTGTCTTTAGGCCCAGGGGGGACTGGGCTCTACTCTGGGGCCCCCAGGGTACTTGGAGGTAACCCTGGTCGTGCTCCGCACCTTCCCCAGTCCCACCTGGGTCCCAGTACCTGTTGAGTGGATGAGGCGCTGGAGGATGAGGACATGACAATAAACTTGGTTGGAGGAGGGGAAGGCTGAGGCGGGGCGGCAGCTCGCGCAGACACCAAGGTCTGCACAGGCAGTGCAATGGAGCCAGGGACCTTCAGCAAGCCAGGGGTCCGAGGGCCAGGCTGAGGGGCCTGGGAGAGGGTCAGCGTGGGCCGGGGCTGCACAAAGAAGAGGCAGGAAGGAAATGTGAAAAGGAGGGGCACTTATTGCTGCTCCTCAGAGGGTCTCCCTTGGGTTGAAGAATCATCCACTAAGGGGACTCAGACCCCCCCAAGTCTCACTCAGAGGGCCCTGTGTTTTACAAAAGCAAGCGCGCATCTGTGGCCACCCTGAAGGGAACCATGGCCCTGTCCCCCCTGCTTGCCCCCTTCCCACGTTTCCTCATCAGACCCCTCTTCCCCCCAGTCCCTGACCTGAGTGATGGTCAGAGTGGTCCTGTTGACCTGCTGAGCCTGCAGAGCAGCCTGGGCCCGGGCCTTGACAACATGAGAGCAGAGGAGGGGCCCGAGGGACCCAAATTCTGCCCGATAGGCGTCTTGATTGTCAGGTGGTAGGCGCAGCTTTGCCAGAACAGGGGCACAGTGTTTCTGCAGAGAAAGCAAAGAAAAACAAGGTAGGTGGAGAGCTGGGACGCTCAGGAAGTGACAAGGAAGGGGTGAGAAAGGAAACTGCCCATTACTCCAGTGCGTTGTGTTGCAGGCCAGTCTGCTGGGCTGGCAGTGTGTGTGAGGAACCCCAGGCAGCACCAGTGTGGATGGGGAAACTTGCTGAAAACACCTGTGATTTCTAAGGGGTGGCTGGTCCACAGGGGGATGCCCTGCTTGGAATGCAGCACAGTGATGGGGAAGCCTCGGGGGCGGTCCAGTCTAGGCAGGGTCACAGGCTGACAGTTAAGGTCTCTTATTTCTTACTTAACCTCTTGCCTTTGTCTCTCCGTCTGCACAACAGTATTGGGCTCAGAACACATGAGGCAAATGCGATGAGTGAATAAAAGACAACAGCTGTTTACTGACTGTCGTGCCTGTGTGTGGGGGGGGGGGAGGGGCGGGGGGAAGGATTGGGGGGAGGGCAGGGACAGGGGTTCTAGTCACCAGGAGGAGGCTCTGCACATGGTCAGCTCCAATGCGGTCAATGTTGCTCAGCACGGGGCCGTCCAGGACACCGCGGATCCGCTCCCCTTCCTGCTGCAGCCGTGGCAGAATCAGAGTCTTAATCACCTGTTGGAAAGGAAGGGGACAAGCCAGGGCCCTCGGGTCACCACAGGGCCTTGCAGGTGGGGCCCTTGCCCACTAAGACCCACGATGCCTCCTTTCTTGCAGTGTTCCCCGCGCCGGGGGCCTCACATCATGTCCGAGCTCTGCCAGGCCTGCGATGGAGCCATACCGCGTAGTCCATGGAGTCTTCTCGTCCACCCAGCTCTGCAAGGGGAAGGAAGATATACTGGGGAAAGGGGCCCAAGAGGCTAATTATTAAGGAATAAGTCTCGCGAACACACTTATGTTGTAGATTGTTACGACACTACAGATGTGGCCCAGGTGCCAGTCCCTGTCCGTCTCCCGCATTTTTCCACTGTCACTACCTCTAGCCACGCTGAACCGCCTCTGGTGTGGGTGAAGCTCTTTGTCCTGGTCACCACCCTGGGGTGGAGATACAAGATCGTCTACACTCCTCATTTTTGCTCACCTTGGTGAAGGTCTTGGTGATCCGGGACTGGATGTTGTTGGTGGTCGTGCTGAAATGCTTGCAGATCTGGGCCACGAGGCGGGCAGCAAAGTCCCGGAGTGCCCAGTGATTGTCCACATCTGGCCGCAGGCACAGCTGTCTGCTTACGATGCACGTCATCACAGCCGGAATCAACTCATGGACCTAAGGGAGAAGTGGCAAGTTGGCCAATTCTGAGGATGGCTTCCTGTTGGTGGCAACCAGGTGCCCCGACCCCAGGCTGAAAGGTGGGTGGGCAGGGCCGCTCACGTATTTTTCTAGATACAGCGTGGGGTTGTCCATCAGCGCCTTCACCATGCGCATCAGGTAGATGAGCAGGGCCAGGTTGTTCTGCACCACATTCACACGGACCTGCGGGAAGGGGAAGTGACAGGGCAGTGAGACCCTCCAATGAGCTCCCCCCGCTGCCTCCTCACCGCCCAGAACCTCATCCTGGGTCCTGGTCTTCTGCCTCTTCTCACCCCCTCTGAGATGAAGGTGCTGAATCGCGGCAGCATCTGATAGAGCCCTGGGTCCGTTGCAATGCTCTGCAGCGCCTCCTGCAGTGGGGAGGGAGCAAGTGACGCGGGGGGACAGAGATGGGGAGGGATTCCTGAAACTCCAGAGAGAAGGAATGCCCCAGGCGGGGAGAAGCAGGTCGGCAGGGCCTCACCGCTCTCTTGGCCTCACAGGAGCCCACACACGCTTCAGTGATCTCCTTGTAGTACAGCTGCTGCTCTACGGACAGCTCGTGGATACTTCGGGGCTTCAGTCGCAAAGGGGCCCCCTCCAGCAGGGGTGGTGCCTTCTTCTCTTTCCCTGTGTGAATTGCCAAGACAGGTTTGAACACGAAGGCTCCAGAAGAGGCCTAGAGCCGGACAAACCTTTGCTCTCTGCCCGGTGAGACCCAGGACCTGGCTCCTCTCAGGTTTCCTGATCCTTTCCAGGGCTCTCCAGCCATAGGTGTCACCCCTTGCCCTGCCCTCAGCCACCTCACAAATCGCCATCTGCCAGGAGCACCGAGGAGCCCAGCCTAGCAATACTGACCTTTGCCGTCGGCTGGAGCAGCCCCTTGACCTTTGCCTTTCAAGGGTCCATCTTCCTCCTGGCCTGGCTTTGCTGACTTCAGGGGTTCTGTGGCCTCAGCCTTCTGCTGCTCTTTGGGAGCTGGTGGGAAAGCCGTCACAGCAGGAGTGACGAGAGTGGCAGGGGGTATAAAGGAAGGAGAGGGGACATGAGATAGAGAGGGGTGGGCCTTGGGCACAGATGAGGTTACCTGGGGGTGGGTTCTCAGGTATAGCTGGCTGGCAGCCTTCAATGCTCAGCCAATGAGCTGTGAGGAAAGAAGGTGTCAAGTTGAACGGCTGGACATGGACACTAGGGAGTCACTCCATACCAGGAATGTGCTTTCCGTCCTGTCCCCACTTCCTGCAACTCCCTAGCGATCTCACGCTGAGGGCTTCTTCACTTGTGAGCCTCCTCAACCCCTTTTCCTCCTCCCCGCCACCCTGCAATCCCCGCCCCAACCTTTGAGGCAGACATCCAGGGGCACCCGGGGCAGAGGGGTATTGATGATGTCGCTCAGATCAACCTCCTTCTCCTCGTAGAAGTAAAGCTCCCGGCCCCCACCAGAGGCGAAACGAAAAGGAATGAACTCCTGGGCGTGGAAGCCATAGAGTGGCTGGATCAGGAGAGAGAGAGAAAGAGACATTGAGATGAGAAGGGAGCCCAAAGAGGCATGACTGAAGGCAAATGCAGTGTCAGGGAGGATGGGTCTCACCATCTTGCCCCCCACCAACCCTGCCAACCTCAGTCCCACGTGTCCCAATCACCTCGACATTCTTTAGCTTCAGCGCGTAATCGATGTCACTGGTGGTTAGCTTCTGCCGCTTCCCCATGTGCATGAACTTCAAGGCATCCTGGGGGTGGGAGAACAAACATCAACTCAAGAGCCTGAGGAAGAAGGGGGCCTGGGCAGCATTCTTTTTTTTTTTTTTTTTTTTCAACGTTTATTTATTTTTGGGACAGAGAGAGACAGAGCATGAACGGGGGAGGGGCAGAGAGAGAGGGAGACACAGAATCGGAAACAGGCTCCAGGCTCTGAGCCATCAGCCCAGAGCCCGACGTGGGGCTCGAACTCGCGGACCGCGAGATCGTGACCTGGCTGAAGTCGGACGCTTAACCGACTGCGCCACCCAGGCGCCCCACTGGGCAGCATTCTTAACACAACAAAGGGCTGGGTGGAGCGGTTGCGGTACCTGTGCAATCTCCTTGATGCGGTAGCTGACCTCGTCTGTCAGCAGCTGGCAGGTCTCCTCCTGGATCTGAGCGATGCCCATGGACTCGGCCACCACTTTCATCGACTCCGAGGGCAGCACGGTATTGCTGAGCTTCAGCTTCTTCTCCTCAGCCATTCTGGAGCCTCTCTCTCCCTCCCCCAGAGAGTGATACCCCAGGGTGGAAAGATGGGAGACCTGGCAGGGGTATGGGGTGGGCAAAAAGATAAAAAATAAACGTGTCCATCTCCGTGTAATTAGTATTGGGTGTAAGAGAAGCAGGTAGTGATCTGACCCGGTTCAACAAAATGTACTGAGCTCTGATTCTGTGCCAGGTGCCATGCAAGTGAGATATACGAGAACAGACGTGTCTTCAATTTAAATCCTGGCCCTAGATTACTTAGCTGGGTTATTTGGGAAAGTTACTTACATCCTCCCAGCTTTGGGTTTCTTCCCAATGCAGGGCTTGAACTCACGGCCCTGAGATCAAGACCTGAGATGAGGTGTGCCTGGGTGGCTAGTCAGTTGAGCATATGACTCTTGATTTCCACTCAGGTCATGATCTCTTAGTTTATGAGATTAAGCCCCGTGTCAGGCTCCATGCTGGGTGTGGAGCATGCTTAAAATTCTCTCTCCCTCTGCCTGTCCCACCTCTTTCTTTCTCTCTCAAAATGAATAAACATCAAAAAAAAAAAAAAAAAAAAAAAGAAGAAGAAGAAGAAGAAGAAGAAGACGACGACGACGACGACCTGAGCTGAGATCAAGAGTCAGACACTTGGGGCGCCTGGGTGTCTTGGTCGGTAGTGTCTGACTCTTGATTTTCGCTCAGGTCATGACCTCATGGCTTGTGGGTTCAAGCCCTGTGTAGGGCTCTGTTCTGACAGTGTGGAGCCTGCTTGGGATTCTCTCTCTCTCCCTCTTTCAAAAAAAACAAAAACAAAAACAGAGTCAGATGCTTAACCAACTGAGCCACCCAGCGCCCCAATGATCGCAAACTGCCTGACAGTCATACCACACCTCAGTGCACTCAGTCCCCCTCTGTCCTACATGATACCACCTCTCCTCCGCACTTTACGCCATTAGAAGAGACCCCCATAGACTCCCACTGCATCCACCAACCTAACAGCACTGGCGCCCACATCTTCTGCCTTCCTGCCTGTTACCGTAGAGAAGCCATTCGTGCCCCTTGCCAACTCCAACACTGCTTCCATCTCCCTGCATCACCACCACGTTTTCAACCTACTTGGTCGATGGTTCCCATCAGCCTCCCAAACGCACTTATTGCTCCCTTCTCAAGAAAACAAGACAGTGGTCTATCCACACAACAGACTAGTATCGAGCCTGAAAAAGGAAGGTGATTCTGACACATGCTACGACATGGGTGAACCTTGAGGACACCATGCAGAGTGAAATAAGGGAGCCAGAAAAGGGCAAACAGTGTTATGATTCCACTCTTATGAGGTTCTTAGTGGAGTCAAATTCATAGACTCAGCAGAATGGGGTTGCTGTGGCTAGGGGAGGGAAGAATGGGGAGTTAGTGTATAATGACAGAGCTTCGGTTTTACAACATGAAGAGTTCTGGAGATGGATGGCGTGACGGTTGTAGAACATCATGAATGTATTTAATCCCGCTAAAGTGTACACTTGAAATGGTTTCAGATGGTGAGCTTTATGTTATGTGTATTTCACCACGATTAAAAATTTTAAATGTTAATTTGGGGTGCCTGGGTGGTGGTTAAGCATCCAACTTTGGCTCAGGTCATGACCTCACAGTTCTCAAGTTCGAGCCCCCCATCAGGCTCTGTGCTGACAGCTCAGAGCCTGGAGCCTGCTTTGGATTCTGTGTCTCCCTCTTTTTCTGCCCCTCTCCTGCTCACGTTCTCATTCTCTCTCAAAAACAAAAACATTTTAAAAATTAAAAAAAAAAAATGTTACTTTTCATTCCACTTTCTCTAGAAGAGCCCCATGTTTTGGCTCCTCCTGGCAACCAAACTCCCTGAAAGAATTATCCTGTTTCTACTTCCTTTCCTTTCTT